GGGTCAAAAATATTATGCCTGGAATAGGTGGAGCTTTTGGGGGATAGCTGGCCAAAAATATCTGTGTTTTTCACCAGTGTCCGGCAGGCCAGAAGTGTGAATTGCCCGCCACAAATGGTGGCCTGCCGGCCACAGAAAATTTGCCTCTAGACCCGACTTCAAACGGGCATATCTCATTCATCCGAGCTTGGTTTTAGGTCATTCTTGAGTCTAAATCGAAGCCCTAGAAGTCTACTTTCCAATGGTGGTAGCCTGACATCTAAATTCTAAGTGTTCAAAGAGATATGCCTATTTTAGTGAAGTTTACTCATTTCTATCTTAACCAAATTGATGCCTAACTTCAAACAACCATATCTCCCTCATCTAGACTCAGCTTTAAGAGATTCTTAAGTCTAAATTGAAGCCCCAGAAGTCCAATTTTCAATGGTGGTGGCCTCACAACTAAAGTCGAAGTGTACAAAAAGATAAGCCTGATTTAGTGAAGCCTACTCAGTTCTTGCTTAACGGTGTGATGCCCAACTTCTTCCCTAACTAATATTCTTCTATCTCCTCCAATTTTCTTCAACTCCAAAGCTCTAAATAAGATGTTTTTAAATATTTTTCAAAGAGTTCACCTCTCTTCCATTTATTTCCACTTTGTTCTTACTCGGTTTACCAAAAAGTGCAATATTTTAAACAAAATGCGAGCCTCAGAACGTCGTAGAAACATTTTTAAAAATATTTTGAAAGAGAGGGTTTTAAGGTCTGAAATAGTTTTGGTCAAATTGGGGTGTAAGGTTGGGATTTAGAAGCTCTTCTTGCTGAACAAATCGAATGTTTGTACATCGTATCTTTCATCATCGAGTGATCAACTTGAGGCGCCCAAGTCTTAAGAGTGGTCGAAAATGGGGTGTCTACAGCCACTCATTCTTTGAATAGAGCCCTTACCTCCTCAATACTACATGGAAAAGGAGTGTCCTCGTCGTAGTTCTTTCTCTTCTACCCTCTGAATCCCTTCTCCTGCGACTTTCGGGCAGAAGACATGAAAGCCGCAGTGACAGAAGGTCTTCGGGATGACTTGAAGTTGATTTTATAACTAGTCTAGAACCCGATCTCCTGAGAATGACGTATGTTGATGTTCCGAGATGCTTCAATTAGTGCCGAGAAGGTGGATAGGTTATGATTAACAAGAAGCATCTTGTACATATTCAATGCCCCTTTAACACAGATTTGGACCAAGTAGCTTTCCTCTACAGCCTCGTGACAGTCCACAGCTTTGTCTTGGAACCTCTTCACATATTTGAGAATGTCTTCACCCTCTTACTGTTTTTCTTTACACAGGGTAAGTGTGGTCACTTTCTTAGCCACTTAAAAGAATTTGGTGTGGAATTTGTTAACTATCTCCTTCCAACTTCGGATAGAGTTTGGGGCCAGGTTTGTGTACTAACTATATGCTCGGTCAATGAGGGACTTGGAGAACTCTCTCAGTCAGAGGACATGATTTAAACTATGAATTCCTAAAGTCTCGATGAACTGAACAACATGTTCTCGAGCATTTCCTTGTTTGCCATTGAATTTGATGAACTTTGGCACCATGTACCCCTTCGAGTATGGATAACTCAACATCTTAATAGGGTTTGGTGGCTTGACATTCGGATCAAGCAAAGAGGGTAAAGTTCTTTTGCTCCGTTCTAGCTTGAACATGGCTTGCACATCTGCAAGGGTGAGAAATTGTTGAGTGAGAGAACTCAATGATGGTATTCCCAGAACTTGTCTTGTAGACCCAAAGGCTGAGCCAGGAGTGGCTTGGCCATTCTGGTGTTGAATTCACCATTGGTGAAGACACGTGACGATACTGGTCATCGGCACCTATAGACAAGCCATTTGGTGATGGAACATCAAATTGGGTTCAACAAAGTCCATTGCATGTCGCAACTATACCGGGTTGGGCTTGCAAATTTGTTGTTGGCGCTAAAGGAGGCCCATTCGATATCTAGGTAGCGTTTACTATTGATGGAACGATATTGGGTACGGGCAAAGCTCCATTTTGTGCAATCATGCCCTATGAATTTGTTTGGACACCAATATTCGTCGGAGCACCATTCATTACGCAGGAACCTCCTCTAGTCACCATTGGATCATAGCTTGGCGCACCATGGAGCCTGGTCGTAGGCAAGTTGCTGCCACCTACTGTGGTCTGAGCATATGTTACTACTGTTGTGTTGCCATGAGCCACAGGCTGACAATGACCTACTTCTCCTTGGGTTTGATTTTGTATTCCGGCGAAGATAACTCCACCTGCAGTTTGATTTCCATTTGGCGTCGGTGCAAAATTAGAACTCATCACCAACATGGTGTGAGTGAGATTCTAAATAGTAAGAATCTCTTGTTGGATATTTTGAAGTCCTTGAATGGTTTCGAGCAAGAGTGGTTGATCTTGAGCCAAGGTACCACCATTGAAAGATCTTTGTTGGTGAACTTCTTCTTCTCCCGCCATTTTCACCAAAGTTGTATGAGTTATAGATCTCTTTAAGACCATAATCAATCCACCTCCCCAGTCAAGTTGCCAAAATGTATAAGAGGGTTCAAGAATGTTGTCAGAAAATTTGAAGACCCGTCAAAAAATTCGAAGATCACCGGAAAACCCAAATTCTCTAGAAATGGTGAGAGACTTAGATTTTTCAACAGTCACAACTAGGAACACATAGTAAAGAGATGATGGAGATAAGGGATTGGGTGAAGAACAAGGCAAAGTAGTTAGGGAGAATAATAGCAAGGCTCTCTCATGGATCTCCTACTTTCACTCTCAAGATAGATAATGAAAAAGGAAAATTAGTTATCTCCTAAGAGTTGTCTCTCCAAAATCTATCCCTTGTAAAGTTATAGATGGGTGCTATTTATAAGCACCTCATGATGTAAGATGGAGTCCATGTGTAAGGCACATGGAGAATATTCCCTCTAACTACCTTGTCCGAGAATGTGACCTTTTCGAGGATGAGGGAAATCTCGAAGAAGAGATCAACCTCTCCCGAAGAAGAGATCAACCTCTCGGTGAACCCTTCTTCTTAGCCACACCTAACCAATGATCCCCAATCATCCCAAAGGGTCAAGGGTAGTCTTAGAGGACGCCTTGCTGTAGAAGGGTTAGGGGTAGTTCAAGAGAACAACTTGCCGCAAATATTGCCGACTCTCAAGGACCCTCTAAATCGTGCCACCTCGACCAGGGTATAGACTAATTTAACCAAAGAGTGAACTTATCTCCACTCACCGTCCTCGGGATTAGGTTCTTTGTTCGGGCTCAAACACGCCCATGGTTCTGGTGCGTAGATCCCAGAAAGCTCCAAGCCCACAAGTGTTCTGGGACTCATTAATTTAGTGGCGTCTAGATTGTGTTCGAATCCGTTTGAAGCCAAGCGCTTCAGATGTCTTGGTTCGTAGATTTGAACCCTTTCGAGTCCGAGCTCAAATAGGTCTTTAAATTTGTGGTTCCAAACTCTTTCAAAGCCAATACCTCGGAGAATGGATCTCCTCCAAGGGTTTCATCTCTTCTAAAAACAACGGTTAACCTCCTCGGATGCCTATATGATCTGAACCTCCTGGGATGGGCTTGTTGGACTCTCTTTAGAGATATATGCTTGATGGGTCTTCCTCGGCCCAATTTGTTGGCTTTCTTATGTGTCCGTTCAATAGAATTCACTTGGCCTATTTAGCAATAATTTCTCAAAGTTCAACAATTTTTGGACTTTTCGATTGAAGTTCAATGGGGCCCAATTAATCAGTGGGCTCAAGTTAACCTCTCTTACAATTAGTTAGTGAAACAATTATTTAGAACATTATTATGCAAAATTGATAATATTCGTAGTTTTAAAAATTGGAAAAAACTGATAATATTTTTAGTTTTACTAAATAGGACTTATTCGTTTAAAACATCTTAGATAGGATTTGAATTACCATAATATTTATAAATAATACTTTTAAGTAATTAACTCAATAAAAATTTAGAGACCCATATATGATTGAAAAACATGAACTAGCCCAAAATTGCAGTTTAGAGGATGATCGCGTGTCCGTAACGTGAACGATTTGCATTACAAATTTCTACCTTTGTCTATTGAAAAATGTCTCTTCATGTCATGGACGTCCTTCAAAACTGGTCCCTAATTTTTTAATTTATTTTTAAACTCTTTTTTATTCGTGCACAAACTTATTTTTATTTAATACAAAGGTCTCGTTTGTCAACTATATATTTTAATTAAAAAATCAAAAAGTTACTATAAATTGTTGTATCTCTTTCTCTATTTTTATGCATATCTTTTCATAAAAAATAAAAAAGTTACTAAAATAGTCTGTTCTCAAACGAGACGTAAGACAAATCTGATCTTTCTTTATAGCCTACCTACCTTCCATTCAGTGTTCTGTTTTTCATTCATACTGGGATTTGAACTTGCATTTTTTAAAAAAAAGAGATTAGTAGCTTGAGAACACAAAGGATATGTACAATACAATATAAGATTTCAATAATAATGATTGTAGAAATGTGTTAATGTACCTTAACAAAATTTTGAAAGTCATTCATGAGATGGTGAATCGTGACATCGACAATAGAAAACTCCTATTTATTCCAAGCTTATTGATTGATTGATAGTATGTTTTAATTTTGTCTCATTCTCTATTAATATTATCATATCATCAAAATTACAAAAAGTGAGACAGATGATCTCATGCTTGGCCAACCAAGAAAAAATTACCAGAGCATCTCCTAGGAGTGGATCTAAGGGGAAATGGGAGCTGAAAGCAAACATCTCTCTCCAAAGTTTCAAAAATCCCTTACTATAATACTATTAATTAAAAAAATCAAAAACAAGCATGCGCCTCCTCTTAAAAAAATTTAAAAATTTGTTTTATTGTAGCCCTTTGTATGGAAATTTTTTGGTTACATGAACATTTGCTCTGTGAGATTAGAACCCTACACCTGTTCCTCCGCCCGATCAAGTTTAGGTGTTAAAAGAAGTTGAATAATGTTGTCAAAAAACAATCAAGAAATAAGAAATAGAAAGCCCGGCTCTCTTTAAATGGTTGTTCTTACATAGCAATGTTGCATTCGTACTACAACATTTTTTTCTGAAAAGTTTTAACTAATTTGAAATGATAAATCCTAATCTTGATGTTACAAAAAACTATTTTGTATTCTTGACAATTGAATGTTTGATCAATCAACTATAAACAAGAACATTCAATCTCCTAAGCCAGATCGAGTGAATTATCATGTGGAACACATCATATCTCTTCGGAGGATCGTTCACTAGAAAATGCCTCTGCACTTGCTTGACTCCCTCCCGCAGTCTCAGATACCGGTCCTCAGGTATTCCCAAAAGAATTTTCTTCAGGTTGGGTATGTCACTGACTGAAACCTCGACCGAGAATGAGTTCCAATCCAGGACATCACTGAACGGCAGGACATAGTGCTGTGAGATCAAAACCGGTACACACTCTGCGTAAATCGCCTCCACGATTCTTGGACTCGCCACTTCCCACCCGCTTGGGCAAATGCAGTACCTGTTGGAGGATTTACATACTAAAAACACTTAATTCAACTTTTCACAAATAAAAAAGTGTAACGATATACAAATAAAATTTTCATACAAACTTTATGTTTAAAATTTTAATTATGATCCAACAGTACCTGCTCTTCTTCATCATGTCAGGGTAAGACATTCCCTCGGGGAGAGTTTCGTAGACAAGTAATTGTTCATCTTTTTCTTTCCAGTGTTTGAGGAATGTAGATCTAATGAGACCGTGTGCACCACCTGCGAAGAAGGCTAGGACTGTGCGGTTGGAGGGAGGCAATCCCCCTGTGAGTCCCTCAATTTCACCTGTTTTGAGGTTGATTTCTGGAAATGATGCATCTTTCTTTGGATTGAAGTGCTCGGAGGTGTTTGCATTGCAGAGTACCCTGATTGAGGTGAAGTATAATTGAGGAACATACCGTGTTGCTAGCGGCCCCTGTAACATGGCAAATATTTGTATGGAAAATAAGATAGAAAGTGAAAGTGGTTGAAAATTAAGCAAAATATAAATAGTGAAAATAAAAATCCAATGATTTTATTGCATATCTAAGAAAAAAAAATTAATAGGCATGATCAAATGGTGTGCTATGTACAGTTGGTTTTAATAATAAGGTTACAATGTTAAATAATTAGTTATATTGTGCGGTGAGTAGAGTTAAATTTTGATAATAAACATTACGAAAATTGCTTTATTTTTTGTATTCAATTTTACCAATTAATACCTTAAATTTTCTTTTATCCAAATCTAATGGTTGAAAATGATTTTTGGATATGGTGCCCAAATTACATTTCTCTTTTTATACCAAAAAAAAAAAAAATCTCAAAAGAAGGAAAAGCAAGAAAATATATATATTGCCAAAAATTAAAAGTGAATTTACCATTTTTCGGGAAATTTAGCACATTTTTCGTTGCGCTTTTGCTTTCAATTCTTTCTGAAAAGTAGTTTTTTTTTTTTAAAAAAAAATCACTTTTTTATAGAACTCGATTTTTTTTTGTTTTTTTTTTTGTTTTGAAACACCCAAATATTTGGTGGTAATTTTGTTTTTAAAAAATAAACCTTTAATTTATTTTATTTTATTTTAACTTCCACCACAATCATATTAAACAAACAAAACAAAAATCGACTTTCTCAAACACTTTCTTGCTAACCAAAGACGCCCATTTAACGACATCATATAACAAGAAAGAATGTAACAACATTGAAGTGAATAATACATACATACCCAATCATGGCAAGAAAGCATGAAATGATCAGCTCCAAGGCTTCTGTTCCAATATGGGTACTTGCTAGAAACGAGACGAACATAATCACCAACAGTGCGTTTCAGGACAGCCTTGTCCCCGATAATTGGATCGAATAAGGTTTCGATGATCATCACCACACTGAAGGGGAGAAAATAAACATGAGCTAGATCGGGATTGCGGGTTCGAAAGTGAGTGTTGGACTCCATGAAGCTTAGGAAGAGTCCTTCCATGGAGTATATGTCCTTGCAAGGTCCATTGTGGAATATTGGTGGCTCTCCCTCTTCATACACATATATCTTGAACATCCTTTCCATTGACTTGTAACTCCTTCATTAACCCAAAATCGACCCACAATAAGTAGGGCGCTTTAATAAATTTTAAGAAAATTTTTATATTAGTGTAAAACTTAAAAATTAATTACAAATAAGTGATAAAATTTATAAATATTACTAATTATAATTTTTTTCATAAATATTTAATAAATTTCTCTAATTACCACTTACTGGAAATTCTTCCTAAGTTTTATCCGCATATATATATATATATATATATTTTTTTTGTGTTCCTAAAATTGTTAGAAATTAAAATTTGATAATATTTTTGTCCCAATTTTGATAATGGCTATACCAGTAGTCATTGAAAGCCTAGAGGCCTGATATTTTTTATACTGAACATGAGCCTGTGTCCGACTGGGCCATTACGAACCAAACTCAACTCGTGAAGAAATTAAAAAGGTCCATGCTTACACTTTTTAAAGAATAATGTTAGAGACTCCAAATATTCTATCAAATGTCTCACATGTGGGTTCCACAATTATGTGAGATATTTAGTAAAACTTTTGGTAAAATTTTTAAGACTTCTAGCATTTTTATTTTTTAAAAACAGGACATAAATTGAAAAGACTCATTTATTTTGACTTTCTGCGTTCAGGTCCAGTTAGCCCAGTCCATAAACGCAAGAAAATATAGCCCACACCATGGTTCCTCATAATGCATAATAGTAGAACATAAATTCCCCCAATGATGCAATCCTATTTTGTTTTTCACAACTTTGCAACCACATAACACAGGTGGATTATTTGCGATCCTCTTTCAGCTTTAAAAATATATAGTCGCCCGAGTATAGAACTTTAATATGCGAAGGACATGTAAGATGTTCGATAAAATTGTAATTTAAACATTAGAAACTTTAATGCTAAATTTATAGTTTCTAAATATTGGGTTTTAAAATTAAAAATGGTAAGATATAATTTATCAGTTAGGATTAGAATCGAAACAAACTTTCAAACTTATCCAACTAATTATAGACAAAAATTAACCAAATCTCAGAGAAGATCAAAGGGTCTACACTAAACCAAATCATTACCTGTGGAAAGCATAAGCATTTCTATAGATGTCCCCATTTGGAACATAATCTGAATCTTGAAGAGGCGATGAACGGTTCTGATTAATCATAGCATTTCTGATCAAAGCTCTGGCGCCAGCAAGACTTGCTTCAACCCTCTTTAGCTTTGCATCTCTCTTCTTACTTCTTCTCAACCCATATTTGTCTCCCACACCCTCTTGCTTTTTGTCATCCTACACCATATATATAAGAATAACACGAGTCATTATGCGTGACATAAGCGTTCACTAATGAGTTGTGCGTTTTATATAATAAAACAAAAAAATTGATAGATACAGACAAAACACGAAAATAATAATGCGAATGAAGAGATGAACGCTAGAGCGATATTGCAATAGTAAAACTAGTAGAGTCGATTCATTAACCCAAGGTTGACCCTTGATCCCCTCTTCCTCTACCCACAGACTAAAAAATAATAATTAAAGAGATGAACCTATACTATGCATGATGCTTGAGTTTGAGTCTACTTTTGCAAATATCCCCTCTTCTTCTTTCTATTATCAGCAAGAAAGAATGATGTATAAATCAGTAGTAGTAGGCAATTGGCATGCAACATTGTGATGAAATACGGATTGGGATTCATGTGATGCTAATGTGAATTTTTTAAATTATCAAAAGAAAAAAAAAACATTATATTTTGACCTTATTGATTGTCAATTGGGCCAAAAATTAGTTATGAATGGATACATATCGAGAATTAGTTGATATGCGTGTGACTTTTATTCTCACTAATATATCAGAGCATATTAGAAATCAGATAATGCAGTGATAAATTCATTTGAATCCATAATAAAAGTAGCTATGTTGAGAATATTGAGTAAATTTTCAAATCATTAATAGCTATTTTTTTTTTTTTTAACTTCATTGCAATTAATTGTGAATAGTTTGAACATATATGTATCATAACCAACTATTACGTATGCAATTTTCATTTCCCTCAATATATTGAAAAGTCAAAAAACCCGATAAATATGGTGGGCTGATATTTTAAACCATGATGATAACATGCATATATTGAATTACTTACTAGAGATTGAAGAGCTGTTTCTTCAGCCAGCAGTGTGTGTGATAATGAACTATTCAATACTAAAGAACCTTCCAAATTAGGAGGCCTGTCTATGTTAGAATTTACCATACAATATCATCACCTACCACCTCCACTCAACTCACCTACCACACACACTCACCTACTCCCCAATCCTCTCCTATATAATTAGTACCTCACCATCTGTAATTCACACCACAATCAATTGTAATATATCTACATCAATCAATAATACATACATAAATTACATAAATTCTTACAGTCTAGTTCTTCATTCACAGGCAAAGAATAAGAACCAAAAAAACCAACTCTCCAAGGCCAAGGAGAGTGGAATGAAAACCAAGATCTCTGAGGACAAAGTGTACAACCATCTAGTGAGAAGACAAGCAAAGGGATGACAAGTAAGAGTACTGAAACAGAGATTGAGTAGGACAAAGATGGAGCCCAAAGGGGCTTCTTTGGAAGCCACATCTGGAAACTAGTCTTTTCTCTTCCAAAACTGTACCCAAGTATCAATAACCCTTTAGATAAGGTGATGATATGTAAAGAGAGTTGAGTTGGTGAATGGGGTATGTGATTTGATGCATTACTTCAATGCAAGTTATTCTTTGCCGCATGTCACTACTATTCTCGATAAGAAATAGAAAAATAGTCGTGTTTGTGTATGTGCATTATGCGAAAGTTTCCTTACAAATCAAGTCTAGCTCTCAAATCCGAGTGTTATAAAACTTGTTTGAATTACTGTTTCATAAAACCGTTTTGGGTCAAAAACAAAAATAAAAATAATTTGTCTTTTAGGAAATACCCCAAATATGTCTTCGAATTTTTTAAATTTATTTACACTCAAAACATAAAGGGTACGTTTGGTAACGTTTACGTTTTCAGTTTATATTTACACAAATTTTACAAACTGGTTTTTGTTTATTTTTTATTTATTTTTAGAAAAACATAAACTACAAACGCGTTTGGTAATTGACAAAATGTTTAAAAAAATTTAAAAATATAAAAAAGAGTGAAAAATGGCAAGTGGCGGCGGAGCGGCTGAAGTGCATTGCTCACACACAGGGATGACATATTGCTTATCAACACATGGGCGTTTGGAAAAGCTAGCTTCAAAAACCTGGCTTCAATTTGAAAGAGAGAAAGTGGGGTTTGAAAGAGAACTACCCAGGAAGCATAACAAAAGAGGTGGTGATATCACTGCAACAAGCCATTCCTTCTACAACTCTAGCTTCAACTGTTCAATTCACTCCAAAGAAGTTATTTATTGCGAAGAATAATGTCATTGACCAACAACGCTTCAATGTGAAGAGAATTGACACGTAATGGTGACAGGTGAAATGTATCGTAAAAGTTCTATGTCATGAATGATGTGATTGAGACCACGATAAAATGGTGAGGAAGATGACAGTTGTAAATGTGTTGACAGGTGTGACATTATTAGGTTAAAAGATTTTGCCAGATCATGCTTGTCAGTTGACGACCACGATAAAATGGTGAGGGAAGTAATGACATTGTTAAAGTGGTATAGGTAAAATGTATCGTTAAAAATTCTATGCCCGATGGAATGCATGTCATTGACGACATTGACAAATGAGCGTGAGGACAGCAATTGCATGTAAGTGTGATAGGTGTGAAATGTATCTTAAAGTTAATAGCACTAATGATGATGTCATTGACGCCCGACAAAATTGGTGAGGACGATTGACATACGGTAAGTGTGACGGCTGGATGCTATCGTTAAAAGTCTCTGCCGATGAAGATGTCGTTTGACCGACCAAGCATTAAAAATGGTGAGGTGAAGATTGACAACGTAAGTAGTGAAAAGTGTAAATGCATCGTTTAAAAGTTCTATGCCGATAAATGATGTTGACGACACGAAAAAACTTGAGGAGAATTAGTGTGATAAGGTGAATGTATCGTTAAACGGTTCCTACGCTCTGGAAATGATGTCGTTGATGACGACGAATGACACGATTGATACTGTAATGGTGAAGTGGTGGGATGTATTTTATGCTCTGCCTCTTTTTTATACATGGGTTACTTTAAAATTGCGAATCTGATCGTAGATCGTACGATCCTACAATCCGATGTTCTAAAACGATCCATATCAGTATGTAGGATTCGATAATTGTAAGGGATTGTATAGGATTGTAGGTAAGATTGTAAGTAATGATCGTTAAATTTGTGATTCTTCACTTTAGTTTTAATTATGTAATCCATTCTAAATTGTAGTTTATCTTTTTTGTAATAGAAAATAGACAATTTCTACAATTATCAACCCGATCCTACATCTGATCCACGGGCCCTTTCTGATCCTACCTAATAATCCCCGATTTTAACAACCTTGGTACTAGTATCTACTAGTCTGCAGTTTTTTTTTTTTGTTTTTTTTTTTTGAGGGGGGGTCACATCGGATTAGAACTGCTCTTGCGATGTTTATAATGTTTGTCTACACTTAAGTGTTTTTTGGATGAATCTAAATAAGTGCACTTTTTGAACTTTTATGAAATATGGGTTGAGTTTGGTGTTGAATTTGAATGATAGTGTTAGAGAGGTGATTGTGACTTAATAATGATGTGACTTTAATAGAATAGTGACTTGTTGACTTTTTATCTTTTCAAGTAATGCCAAACTTGCCTTAGTTGATTGGACGTGCTCTCTGTTTTTTTAAAATTTAAACAATACTGAAAATGAAAAGTGCCTTGTTGTTTGCTGCTGCATAATAGGGGGGGGGGTAGTATTCAGGAAACAATTTATGTTTTTTGAATCAGATTGGTAGCCAGTCGCGGCAGCCAATTACATTTATACAGAAGGGGCAACTTTTTAATCATAACTTCGATTTTTTTTTTTTTTTTTTTTTGAGCAATCAACAATATAAAATAATTTTAAGTATTTAGGTAATAATAATTGTTTATCAATTTTATTTTAGCCCATTGAGTTCACATGTGACTGAGGATACCCAACATCTTACCAAAACTAGATCAATAATTTTCTTTAAAAATAATGGCTATTGGCTCATTTCTTACAAGTTAATTTGAGAAATCAATTCTATCCATTCCATTCGTGGGGTCTAAATTAAAACAGGATAAGCTTTCTTATGACAACTTATTTCAAAAAATTATTTTAATTAACTAAGAGGCATTTTAAACTGAATTTAGTCTATTCATGCATCTTGCATTGGTTTATAGGATCTCACAGTTATTCATGTAGGGTGTTACCAATTCAATTGTGAATAGCTTGATCTTTATTGAGTTTTAAAAAAAGCAGAAGTCTTTAATCTTGGCATGGTAGTGGTAGTTGCGTAAGAATAAATTGCTTCACATACTTATTATAGTAGTAACCATACATATTTGGATTGGTGTAAATAATAAAATTCTATAATCCAAAATGTGTAATTGACCACCCCACTTAAATGTCAAATCTATTAATAGGAGGTAATATCATATTTGCCTCTCTAAACTTATCCACGGCAATTTTAAATTTGACCTCCAAACTTCAATTAATATTAATTTTATATCAAATCTTTTAAATTTTGACTTCAATTTGCCTCTGCCGTCATATTCGTCTACCAATATGGATATGAATGTGCCGACGCAGCATCAAGTTCATTTAGAATTTCAATTTTAAACTCGTCAAACTATACCTTAAAAGATCAATTTGGCTCCATAAATAAAAATTAGAATTACATAGTTTTAATAGATGAGTTTTTTACTTCAATAATGAAAAAAAAATGAAATAATATATACTTTGGCAAAAAACAAAAAAATATAAAATAATATAAAATTGATTAATGGTTTAATATTTTGTAAATTTAATTTTATTTTGGAATAATACAAAATTGATTAATTGTTTCATTTGTTAAATCAACATACACATGACATTTAATGCCAAAAGTACAGGATAAACCAAAATTAAATTTATTAATTAAATAACTTACAAATCATAACTTAATCTTAAACAACCATACTAAGGCCGTCGTTGGGAACAGGGGGGCTTTAAATTTAGTAAAAACTTGTTTTTTCAATATTGGCTAAAATATAGCTAAAAAAAACTAGTACTGGTTTTGTATGACTTTTTACTAAAGATGTGTAAAAATAGAGAGAAAAGATCTTTTGACTTTTGGGTATGTGATTGTTTGGGCTTCTTGGTTACATTTAGTAAATTTTTGACTTTTGTGGTTAAAAGAAAGGCTCCCAAAAGCCGTAAAGCACAAAATAAAATAAAAGATAGTCTAGTAAACAATAATTTTATCTTTATATAAAAGAAAAATAATTGTTCTCGCTGAGGTACAGCAATATTTGCTTTACATTCATACTAAATGTGTCTGGGTATCCAAAATAAGAAAGAAATTTAGTACATTTTTGTATACTCGTCGTATCAGAATATCATAACGTTAGTTAAGTAGATCCAGCGAAGGTAACGAATGTTTGTCGAACTCTTCATACTCAACCATCCAAGATATTCTACATAATAAGTTATTATTTTATATTATTTTTGGCAAAGTATAGATTATTAAATTTTAATTTTTTGGACAAATTAAGCAATGGTCTCTAAGTTTACCTGTGATTGTCATTTTTAGTCCTCTGATACTTCTAATTGCATCAATTTTACGCCCTATACTTTTGGCTTTTCTGCTCAAATGTAGTCCAATAGTTAACCACCGTTTAACTTTTTTGAGGAAACCCCCTGCCTTGCACAACGCGGATGGAATCAGTCATTTCTGGAGTTGTACGCACTTAAAAAAAAAAAAAAAAAAGATCACCTGCTTCGTTTTCAGTTTTCCCAAACACTTTTCAGAAAATTCTTACTTCTTATTTTCCGTGTTTCTTTTTTCTTTACTGAATTTTTTAATAATTTACAACCATTTTTGTTCTACTTTTTCGACACACCTACATAATACAACCTAAAAAGTAAAAAAAAATTAGTAAAAAAATCTTTAAAATTCACTAAATAACCAAAAATACAAAAAAAAAATACAAGAATTCACGTACATTTTTTGTATTTTTATGTATTTATTATTTTTTAAAATATTTCTTTCACAAATTTTTTTACTTTTTTAAATACATCTAAGTAAGGTGTCATCTAAA